CTTGTGTCTTCTTCCCTACTGAGGCATTGCATTGAGCCTTTTCCATTTGCAGTCATCTACCTTAACCAGATAGACTGATGTGTCCTGTAAACCTAGTTATCATTTCCATAATCCATATGCATGATATATGACACAAGTAGTTTTATAAATATGAATAAATGAAATTCAATGTATGTTACTCCATTTTGTAAAAAAAAAAAAAAATTCTGCTAATGTTGTTAGTTTTTCCCCCCTTTTTTTGTTTTCCCTCTGTATCAGACAAGTACTGTGCCAACATCATGACCGATGAAAGAGGCACATCTCACACAATGGTGTGAAAATCCAATCATCATGATAATGAATCTCAAAAGGATAAAAATATATTTATTTAGTAAAACTAAAGGCTGAGGCAAAGAGGATTTTGAGTTTAAAGCCAGCCTCGGCAACTTTAGTGAGTCCCTAAGCAACCTATCTCAAAATAAAATGCAAAAAAGGGTCAGGGATATGGCTCAGTGGTTGAGTGCCTCTGAGTTCGATCCCCAGTACCACCAAAAAAAGGAAAAAGTAGGGGGGCAAATTGTACTTGCTCATAGCAAGTGAGAGGCCATGTTTTCTGTATTTGAAAATTTATACATAAAATTCTTTTTCTGATTATTTTTCATGTGGTTCTTTCCCATTCAAGTAAAACTAATCATCTTCGTACGTTTAGCTGAGAATTTAATCTGGTTACCCAAATAACCTTTCATTTCATACCCCACCTTTTTTTGGTACTGAGGAGTGAATCCAGGAGTGGGTGCTTTCTCACTGAGCTGCTTAGGGCCTCCATAAGTTGCTGAGGTTGGCTTTGAAGTCGCCGTTCTCCTGCCTTAGCCTTCTGAGCTGCAGTATTATAGGTGTATAACACCACATCTGGCCCTTTTTTGTTTTGGAGTCTCATTACAACTACTTTTATAAAATTGATTATTATCTAACTTGATCTTCTGCAAGCTTTTTTTCACAGTATTGAAACGTAGTAATTGAAAAATAAAAGATGTATTCAGTTCAATACCTGAGACATCTAGATGTAACTGAGAATTTTTTTTTTAATTTTTTTTTAATGGAAAACTTAAACTTAAAAAAAATTATTATGTATTATTGACTGTTTTTTTTTCTTTGTGACACAAGCCACATTGGTTGTAATGTATAAATAATGCACTAAAATTAGAAACCTACTCGGATGTGTTCTTACATCTCATCATATCAAAATGCCTGTCCAAAAATTGAAACTAGAGCAAACTTACTATACATAGGTTGATCATCCTGCATGCATCAAGTACCCTGTGAACATTCATTAACAAGGTATTCCAAATGCCTTTAAAGAAAAAAATTAATGATGGACTGGGATCTTTTGTATTTTAGTAAATCTTGAAATGTCTTTACTTTCTAGCACACATATATATGACTCGCAGGTAATAATACAAAGATTTTTTTTTTTTTTTTTAAAGAGAGAGTGAGAGA